TAACTCTCCTAAAAGGGAGAGAATTTTATTGCTTTTAAATTTAGAAACCAGGGAGGGTATATAGATGGATCAAGAAAAAGTGGTGAGTGATGCTTTGATTATTATATTAGTCTGTTATTAGCATGCACAAGTCTTTGGCTTCTTCTGTGATTGTCCTGTCTTCTTTCGTCTTTACCTGTAAAAAATAAAGACCATTAGTATGTTAATAATGTCTCCTTGGGGTTAATACTGTCCTTTATTGCGCTTTCCGAACATATCTTCAGGTACTGGGGCGCTTCACTTTTTGCCTCTCAGGTTGTAAGACGGACCCTTCGCTGCTGCTCCACCTTCTGATTCTTTGTCCCCTCCCTCCGAGCTGCTGTCTTCTTCACTGCTGAATACTGCCCATTTGACGAGTTCTGCCTCGTCCTCTGAACTGGCGTGCCTCTTCAAAAAGTCTTGAGCCTTGAATGCTTGGTAAATTTCACAACCACTTCTGCTGGCAGATTATTTTTCCTTGTATAGATGGAATAGGCTCTATAGACCAAATCCATCTCTTCGCTTAACTTTTCCACTTCACTGCCAGTCAGTGGTGCCAGAGCATCCGCCAACATGCTTCTGACATCTTCTTTTTCTACCTCCTTTATACCTTGAAACCGGAGAGTCAAATTTGATTTTTCCATTTGTCACATCAACAGCTTGTTGTCTTGTACTTCTTGATGTTTTTCCATTTTGCTGACCTTCTTCTTGATTTTCTGTGTTTCTTCCTTTGACACCAGGCATTTCTTTGCAATCTCCTCCATCTTCTTGGTTGTATCAGTCAATTGCTTCTGTTGATTACTGAGGACACTTTCCATATTAGACAACGTTTGATTGATTTTCAACATTTGGTCCAGTAGAGGGCGAAGCATCTCACTTTCTTGTTGATTGACAGCTGGCTCAGTAAGGCGAGGGTTAAGACCGGAAGTCCCTCCCGTCCTCTTTGCCGGCTTGTCCTGCAGCTTCGTTTGCCCCGACATCTTAACTTTATTGTTCACTTTTTAAAAGTTCGTGCCGCGCAGCTTGGGATTCACTCCCTCTTCCTCGCTTTAAAGAATGCCCCAAAAGGTAACTGTACTTTATAAAATTTTCACTCCCACCCTTTTCTCGCTTAAAACAGTCTCGTTCTACTGGGGGGGGGTTCACCCTCCTCCCTTCTGTTTAGTCCAATGGGGGGGAAATGCGCTTAAATCTTTATCTTTTAATTCGATCGTCACTCACAGTAAGCCGTCTTCCGCTTTCTTTTACTTTCGTTTCTTCGCTTCTTCGCTTTTCATCACTCCGAGAACTGGTGGTGTTGCTAGTCCCCACAAAGGGGCACAACGTGGAGGGGCCTTCGGGGCATGGGGAGAGCCTCAATTTCCGACCATCAGGTCGACAAAGAGGCACTTCCCCGGTGCACCCCCTGGTCCGGAACCTTTACCCAAGGCTCCTTAGGGTCTCCGCTTGTGCGGATCCCCCCTTCCGTGTGTGGGCAATTCGCGTCCCAGAAGAGCAACCGCCATTCGCGCCGCCAAAACCTTGTATTAATTTTTGAAATACTTTCTCTAAATCAAAATCTCCAAAATTTTCTGGAATTCCATGGAAACGTAGATGATTACTCCTAAATTTTGATTCCAAGACTTCAGTCCTTTGATTTGCTTCTTTTAGGGAGCTTGGTTTTATTTCTTGTACTGATTCAATTGTTTCTTTTTCTTTAATTTGTCTTTGCTTTGTCATGATGTCTTGAATATCTTGTTTATTTTCTTGATTTTTTAAACTTATTTCCTGCAGCCAAGATGTTATCACAGTCCTGATCTATTGTATATCTTCCTTTATTGCAACAAAAATCTCCTCTGCCTTTTGTTCTGTTCGCGGTAATTGAATTAAGAGGTTTTTATTTTCTTGTTTTATTTCTTCAATAATATTCTATGTTGTTTTATCTGTTAGTTGCTGTTGAGTTAGAATATATTTATTTTCATGTTTTAACTGTTGAAAGGGTTTTGATTTGTCATGAGACAGATGACATTATCTTCTCAGTTATTATTTCTATATCACCCCCAGAACTGTATTCTTTCTTTGCTGCCCTTGCTCCTGTTGCCATTTCCCCAAGGTTCCTCAATTTTGTTCTCTGTTTAAAAGCTCTATACCGTTTTCCATATAACCATATGGTCACAAAACCATATAAACAAAATCATATTTTATATAGACAACCTTAGCCTTAAATTTTTATGAACAATGCTCACTACCTTTGTTACAGCCTTTAGAATTAGTAGATACAAGAAAGGAGACCCGCGAAAATCAGGGGGGAGGAGCGTGGGAGCTCCACACAGAGCAGGCGAAGGAGGAAGCAGCAGGTAAGCTTCCCCCCCATCCCGCCATTCCCCATTTCCTCCGCCACCACCTCCGGCTCCCGGATTCCCCCCGCCTCCAAAGGCTTCCCCTCCGCCTCCGAAGTGAGGCCCGCGACTGCCAGGCCTCACCGATCTCTCTTCCCCCCCTTCAAAGCGAGGCCCGCGGCTTGCAGTCGCCGGGCCTCACCAGTTTCTCTCTCTCTTCTCCCTCCTCCAAAGCGAGGCCTGCGCGGCTTGCAGCTGCTGGGCCTCAGCAGTCTTCCCCCCCTACCCGCCTTCTCCTCCTCCAAAGTGAGGCCTGCGACTGGCCAGGCCTCACCGCTCTCTCTCTTCCCCCCTTCAAAGCGAGGCCTGCGGCTTGCAGCCGCCGGGCCTCGCCAGTCTATCTCTCCCCCTCCCCTCCGAAGCGAGGCATTTAGCAGAGCGTCCCCTGCGCATGCGCAGGGGATGCTCTGTTACTTTTGGGGGGATTTAAGTATCCCCCCGATATTTTTTTTCAGTTTTCAGATTTTTGTGCACACCTGGGGACTGCCCCAAGCGTGCACAAACATCTCCCTCCTTCTCAGGTGCCCCCGATGCACGGATTTAGGTATCCGCACGTACGGGGGCAACTTCACTATTAGTATAAGGATTAATATTTACTTGTGCTATTACCTATGCCTCTAAAATACAAAATATAGAAAATACAGTATAGAAAATATTAAAAATATAAAAAGGAACAGCAGGTTGCAGTAGAGGTTTCTTTATTTCAGTCATAAATAGCAGATGGCAGCAGCATCCTTCTGCGTCAGCTTCAATAGTTTCTGTGTTTCAGGAGGCACAAGGACCTAGAATCTCCTAATCAAAGACGACCCCAAATCCTCTGATCTTCCCACACACCAGTTGCTGGGGCCCTTCTTAATTGCAAAGAAGGGGCAGTTTATGCCCTTGATAGAGAAGAAGCATGAAAGCAGATAATTTAGTGCTTTCACTCAGTTGTCATCTTGGTTCCATCTTGTGCTGGGGCCATTTTCCAGGGTTGTTGTCTCTCCAGGCTGCTGTTCTCTTGAACTGCAGTCCTAACCACTATTGTCCACAATTATATGCTATAGCGTATGATGACTGGAAAATTCAGTATTAAACAAAGTCTGTATTTAAATATGTTGCTAGCCCTATTGCAACTCTGCGAGACTATTTTTTCCAAATAATATACTGTCTTTAATTTATTGCAATTTTTATTCTAATTTTAACTTTTATTTTTTCCCCTTCACCTTAGATGATAAAAACTATAATATGCCAATTAGTAGAATTTTGTATGCTCAGAAAAAAAACACTTAAGATAAATTCTGGGTATAAGAACACATTTTAAGATGAATTCTGGATATAATTCTGAGTAATGTACATGAAAACTTATATTAAACTTTGTTGGTCTTAAAGGTGCCACTGAACTCAAACTTTGTTCTATTGCTTCGGACCCTGCACGGGTACCCATCTGAATCTACATTTAAGATAAAATGGCAAAATAAGTTTGATAGGAAAGCAAATACAGCATATATTTTAATTTTTAAATAGTCTTGAAAAGAGATGTCATGGTTTCAAAATTTTCAGAAGTTATACTATGCAAAGATGAGATTCTTTTTATTAGAAATTTAATTTGTCTTTCTGATTACTTTTGTGCTGTCCTGTGAATATGGATGGCAAGTCTTTTTCTTAAGAATACCACACATGGGTCAAAAAGAAAGAAAAGTTCCAGGCAAGGGCTTTGTGGTTGCTGGCCACTTGTGGATTCTCTTCTTGGTTTCAGAAAGATACAGTCTGGTGAAGGGAGTGGTTGAAGTTTCAAATAATGCCTGCAAAAAGTTTTTTGTCATTAAGTTGTTGCTATAGGTGTAGGAACTGTGCTCCAGGGATTGGAGTAGAGGGAGAATAGGTGCTGTGAGGCATTTTAATTTATCATGATGACTTAGTGCCCAGAAGTACATAAATGGTAAATTAATTTTAGCTGTTTAATTACTTAATATTTTATTTCCCTGCAAGGGGTATACACAAGGATAATAATCCACTGAGTTTGTGCCTCATTCAGATTTAATTGCAGCTTGTTGTGATGTCTGCATGAAGAAACCATGTATACATTCTCTATAAAGTAGACTAGTTATTTTACTTAACTGAGAAACTGGATTGTAGTCTCTTGAGGTAAAATATTTTATGTATACTGCTGTGAGAATGCCCTGAATTTTTAAAAAGCGAGAAAAGGAATAGAAAACAATAGTGAAAAGACAATAGTTCATAAGCTTTCTGAATGCTCAAAGTACAGAAGAGGAATGCACCTTCTGGTTTTGGTTTTAACCTTATTTTGTTGTTGTTTTGATGAAATTTAAACTTCTATAAAAAGAAAGAATGGGTTTTTTTATCCTTCCAGAGACATTCAGTACTTAGACTTTGAATTTTTGTTCTCATCACCTGGTACTTCCTCTGTTATTTGCTGAAGAATTATCTTTTTCTTTCTTACCCAGAGACCTTTTAGGCACACTTTAGTTTTTATCGCATGCTGGTAAGACAAAAGGAGCTATTGAACTTGTAAGTTAGCGATATTGCTAAGATGCCTGCTAGACTTGGTTGTGGATGGAGTATTCACTGTCACCTTCAATTTCTGTTTTCTTTCTTACACAGGTGACAGATCAGTCTGTTAAAGCATTTGCAGAACACTGTCCTCAGTTGCAGTATGTTGGGTTTATGGGCTGTTCTGTTACATCTAAAGGAGTCATACACCTTACCAATGTAAGTACATAAACAAGGTTTCCTATTGACATTTTCTGTTGGAAGAGGCTTCTTTGTCTCAAGTGTAGCTGCCAGGTAATTGGTTGTATTCATACACTATGGTAAATCATTGTGCCAAAGCCTTGTTGAGTAATTCTGATTTTATTGTGATGTCTGAATGCAGACTGCTTAACAAACTGCATCTCTGTTAGTGATGATGCACCAAGAAACAAAAGGCAGTGGGACAAAAGATCTTGTGTAGACACACAGTAAATATTCCCCTACACAAAGCAATGTTATAGGCAAAAGCAGTTCACAACCCACCTTATTTTGTTTCATAATTAAAAAGTTGAAGAATAGTTAAGCATATGATAGAAAATGGGATAAAAGGGTGACTGATGATTCATAGGCAAAAATGAAAACTTATCTTGCCCCAGATTTCTTCACCCTTCCCTGACCGTTTATTGTTGTGCTCTGCTTTACATAGGCCCCGGTCATACGGGCCGGATATCGTGGGGGGGAGGCGTGGCTGTTTGCCCCAGAGCGAACTACCGCGCGGCAGCCGGATCAAACGTTCCGCCCAATGTCCCGTGGTTGGGGGGAGGTGCTGATCATACCTCACTCCTGCCGCGCGGCAAAGAAGCGGCGCCGTGGGGGTTGCGTTGTTTCTTTTAACCCAAGTGTTCGCATGCGCCGTTGGGTGCTTGTGCGCACCCGTGGAGACTTGAGAAAAAAAAAACCTTTTCACGACGGGACATGGGTGGGCTCCAGATGCCACAAGCTAACACTGGAAAAGTGATCTGACACCCGCCCTTGTCCCGCGGTTTCCGGAAACTTGTACCTCGGAGGTACTAGTTTTTTACAGCGCATCTTCGGAGTGAAGCCTCGGGTGAGCCATGGGAGCTCTACGCTTCCCAGATGTGGCGGTGAGATTGCGCCCGGAAAATCCACCTATCTTCCATCTCTCTAGCATGCCTAATGCTCCGTGTGACTGGGGCCATAGTGAAGCTTTGTCAGTAGCTGGGCAGTGCAAGGAAGCTTCACAGAACATTCTGTGGTCTGTTATGTATATGTGGTAAACTAGGTAATCATAGTTATATTCAGTTTATCGAAATGCAGCCATGGAAGACCTTTTTTACTAAACAAATATTAAAATAACAACAATATATCCTGTGGTTCTAATAGCAGTACAACAACAATAGAATAAACAAATACTTCTGATAGATTATATAATCAAAATATAACAGTAGAATTTGAACAAAAGGTCTATCACATATAATGTTCTCAAAAACAAAAAAAACATGGTTCTTCTAACACTTTTTATGTGTATATTCTTATTGTGTATTAGAGTTCATAAATAATAAATAGGAACCTTCCTTTTAAATGCTGACATGTTTTCTAGATAATTTCCACGTTTCAAGGCGAAACCTTATAAGCAGATTCCATAATTCCAAAACTGTAGAGAGTGTACAATAAATTATATACAATATCATGAAACCCAGTACAAAAAACCTCAGGTGTGCCACAGGTCACCAAGTACTCACCAACCAACAATGTCAAAATATCTTGTAAGCAGAACTCCATAAGTTCAAATCTGTAACAAATATATCATGATTATATTTCATATGGTTGTCCTAAAACAAAATAAGAAGCCTCTAGATGCCATAAGCCTCTAGATACTCACCCACAGTATCAGTATTTCTCTTAAGGTGAGGCAAGAGTTCACAAAATATATAAACTGGCTACAGCTCTGCAATCTTTATGATTCAAAATGCCTTCAGAAAATGGCTCGTCACAAAACATACATTTTATCTACCCCACCTTCTTTACAGTTACCATTTGTCTTAAAGGTATATTACACAAAACAGGATAAATCTAAAACTGAATTGAGATCACCAGGACTTACAATATTAAATGTATGGATCCAAACTTGTCCCCTTTGCAGTAACCACTTGAATATCAACGTAAACATAAGGCTTAGATTCAAATTTCTCTATCACTGCAAACTTGAAGTCTTCATACCCATGTTGTTCCTGGTTGAAATGCTGCACTAGAGGTACTGTTTCTCTTTTATATTTTAGACAGGACCTGTGTTCAATCACCCTGGTATGCAAAGCTCTACCAGTTGAACCAATTTAATGCAATCCACAAATGCAGCAAAACACATATATCACTTTGGATGTTCCACATGTAGAAAAGTAATATAATTGTCGAGTATATCCATTTATTTCTATGGTGTTTTTCCTCCATGCCATTTTACAGACAGAACAAGATTTACAAGGATGCTGTCCTTTCACTTTAATAGAGCTCTAGCTAGGATTAAGGAAATCAGATTTTGTCAAAATATTTCTCAAACTTTTTGTTCTACATAAACCCAGATATGGTTTATCTTTACAAGCTGGTAAATGTTCAATAAGATAACAGTGTTTATAAATAATGTTCTTAATCTGATTAGTCAAGCCGAAGAGCCAGTGCTGTCCGAAGATGTTTCTGTGGTCATGTGGCCGGCATGACTAAACACCAAGGCACACGGAACGCTGTTACCTTCCCACCGAAGTGGTACCTATTTATCTACTTGCAGTTTCTTGCTTTCGAACTGCTAGGTTGGCAGGAGCTGGAACTAGAGATGGCAGCTCACTCCATCATGCGGCACCCAGGTCTCGAACTGCTGAACTACTGACCCTCCACAGCCTGCAGTTCAGCATCTTAACCACTTGAGCCACCGCAGCTCCTAAAATTTACGTTAGGGATCCCTTATTTTTGAAAAAATAAAAAAGAAATGATATAAATGTCTAATAAAAATCTAAAGCAAGTGGTATCTTTAATTGAAATTAATATTTCAAATTGAGGAAAAATAGTTTTGTTGTCTCAGGACAAAGAAGAGTTTGAGCAGATCAACATTGGAAGTATTTTTATGTTTGTGTGTGTGTGTGTGTGTGAAAAATTGTTTAATATTTACTGTTGTATTTATCTTAATAGCTAAGAAATCTTTCAAGCTTGGATCTACGGCATATCACAGAACTGGATAATGAAACAGTGATGGAAATAGTAAAGAGATGCAAAAACCTTACCTCTCTCAATCTATGTCTGAACTGGATTATTAATGACAGGTAATTTTATTATTTAAAAAATATGGAAAAACAAAATCAAGCTATTATGTCAAGTATTAGTAACTGATGATTTCAAGAATTTAGGAGAAATGAATAGTTAAGAAAATGAATTTTAGATTAATGAGATTGGCTACACAGTACTTTTTGGCATTAAGTGATTGAACCAAAACCATACTTTCTTCGAAAAAAATATATATACTGGATAACCTGACTGATGAGGAAAAAAACAAACCAGATCCTTGGATTTTAGGACTTTCAAATTGGTAAAAAGACGTTGGATGTATATTTTCTGTTTGTAATAATAGCATTACTTTTATCTTGGTTACTTTCTTTTAAAAATAAGGGAATCAGAGTGGAATGGTTCTTTCTGGAAACATATATTTGATAAAAGAAAGTGGGGGGGATGTTTGAAATTTATTTATTTATTTTATTGCATTTATACCCCGCCCTCCCCGCGAACGGGCTTTTCAAGATGTTGGTACCATTCATATATAATGTTTATATTCTAGTAGTATGAGAACGTGAAACATGTAGGATTAACTAGGCTGTTCCCTTTGCTTTGTGTTCTAATGGATATACTAGATCTTTGACAGGAACATTATCATGGCTGTAATTTCAGTCTTGAACATTAAGGAAAAATAATATGTAGACTTGTAAAGTAATGATCAATGGTTGCACTTTTATTCTGAGGATGTGGTAAAATAATATTAGTATTGGGATCAAGATAGGATAAAAAAATAGAACTGATAACTTGGTAGAAGTTACAGAACATGAATCATACAGACCCAGAGGAGAAGGGATGTTGCATGTTGTGATGGACTGCACTTAACAACAGATTTCCTAGTTCATCAATTCCAGAGAGCTGGGGGGTGAAGAATTAACACTTCACTGAAGAATTAACACTTCACTGAACAATTAACACTTCACTGGAATTGAGAGCTTGAGTGACAGGCTGCTCCCTCACCCCGCACTCTCTGATTGGCCAGTGCCAGCTGAGGAGAACTATATGATTAGCTGAGTGCTGAGGCCAGGTGGTGGTTCAGAAGTCAGTCGGCTTCTGACAGAGTTGGTTGGAGTCCGTGAGGCTTACAGAGTAATTAAGACAGGTTCACCTTTGGAGTGAAGGGAAACGACTCCTTGCCTTAACTGTTTTCTATCAATTCTGAGGAAGAATTATGTATCAGAACTGAACATCTAATCAGCCTCAAATGAAGTCTGTTTTACACAGACCCCAGAACTGAGATTGAAATTTTGGTGAGGGTGATTGGGTAGTATACTGAAACTCCCATTCAGGCCAAAAGAAAGGGTTTATATTTTCTGACACAAAGAAGAATAATTCCTGTCCAGTTACATGGAAGTTGCTCTGAGGAGACCCCAGTGTGTTATAAAGGGAATTGGATTTAGACACCTAGGGATATAGAAATAATCTGTGGTTTCCAAGAAAAGGGGGAGAGAGTTCAGGCACAGAAATAAAGAGACCACCTCCAGGAAACATGAAGAGTCATAGGAAATTGTACAAAAGAGCAATCTAACTATAACTAAAGTACTCAGAAGCCTCTCACTCCACGAATATATGAAAATAAGCTTCAACAACACTAATTTGATTGTTAGAAGAATTATAATTTATTTATTTGATTTGATTTGTATCCTGCCCTACCCTGCAAGTGGGCTCTGGGCAGCTCACAACATATAAATATAACAATTTAAAAGATTAATTTTTACCTAACCATTTCCAACCCCTGACTACATCTCTGCTTGTTAAATAAAACTGCCATTTAAAAGAGAAAAACTCCTGCTTATCCCATCACATTCCTGGGCTGGGCTAAAAGACAAATTAGATCTTCTTGACAGGGTGGAACAGACAGACGTTTAAAACCATAACTAAAGCCATACTGCTTGGGACTGATCAGTCACAGTTGGGAATAAATTTTTGGAGAAATGTCAGGGGTCCATCATACATGTGAACATAATATCCAATACTGAAAACTATCCAGAGGCAGTGAACCAAATATCCCTATTTGTATGATATGTATTATTGCAAAACATGTGGTGTGTTAGCGCTGCAAAATATTGCATATCCTGAAAATGTGTGATATGCACTGGAGAATACTGAAGTATATTGACATGGGAATTACTAGTGTGAGAAGGGCACAACCCAAGAATTAAATGATTTGGTGTCCTAAACTAAAGAAAGAATAATATTACATTTGAGAAAACAGCATTATTTATAGACACCCTTGTTCTTCACCTCTCTCCTGACCCTGTTCTTTTCAATCTCTGGAGCAAGAACCAGTGTGCTCCCCTGACCCTATGAAGGTCCTGGCTTGTCCTAGGGCCAGCCCCTCAGGAGGCTCCATCCCCTGGAACTCTAGTGGGATCTGAGCAATTCCTGTTGTCCTCACATTCCATCTGTAACTCATCTCCTTATTCCCTACCCCTAATTCAAGGCTGAATCCCAGCTGTTTATCAGGCAATGGGATGTTAAAGGGTCAGTCCTTATCAAGCAATGAGGAAGGAGGCTTTGCCTTAAAGGCCCCACATGTATTGCTGATTTGGCTCATGGACACTAAGGGTGTTTTTCTGGGCACCCTCAGAGATGGAGAGCCTGGGGGTTGCTCAGGTCCCTCACAGTAGATGGAAGGACATGGTTGCTTTTGTTATACTGGAGCATCAGAAAGAATTTCTGCATAGTGTTATGCCAACTGCTTTATTTACAGCAGAGGCTAACTAAATTTTAACGTGAGTCCTGGCCAGCTATACCAAGGTCGTGTCTGAACCCAGAGTTCCAGTAATGGAGACCACATGGGTGTTTTTCCAAAACAAATAATCTTTTTACTGAAGGATATCAAAGTCACACATACAAAAACATCAGTCTCACTTCGCATACGTCCAAGTTTCCTTTAGAGTCACAGAAATAGAAATAAAATAGTTTCTCAGTTACTTGGAGGTAGGTAGGTAGCTATTTCGGTTCATATTCGCCTGTTCCAGAAGTCTTGTCTGTTGCAAGGAAAAATAAAGGGACAGAGAACATTGTCTAGAAGTTTTACCTACATCACACTGTTCCAGAACCAGCCGGTCAAGTGTGTGTGTGTTTATGTATGTGCCTTTCTTTGGCTGCGCATCCCAAAGAGATCCGGTAAAGACAAAGAGTTTTAAAGCAGGAAAGGGGGGGGGTAGTAGAATGTAGCCAGCCAAAAGACTTGACGCATGGTCTTTTCGTTGATGGTAGAATGTGGCCAGCCCAGCACCTAAAGCATGGTCTTTGCGTTTTATAGTTGAATCACCAGGTGGGTGGCACCTTGCCAAATGGCAATCCCACCTACTTACAAGACACAACTTACAATCCCATGAGTTCCCTGATTGGTGCATGTAGAAAGGGGGCAGGTATTCTATGGGTTGGGCGATATTTGAAACTCTACACTCTATCTCATGGAATACCATTTGGCCATGTGTGAAGTCTCAGTTTCAAGACATCTCTTTGAAGTACAGATGAATCTTGGCTTTCCCAGGCCTCCAAAATATCATCAACAGGAAACAGCAATTCAGATGCATATCAGGTCTGTGTCCTGCGTGACAACCAGTCTCTTCAGTAATGGGGGAATTTCCTCCTTCTTGTTTGTTGTTCTGCTCACAATGGCTAACATGTGCTTCTTCTTCCCATGATCCTTTGAGCTGAATGTGTGCAAGCTACATTAACATAAAATGCAGGCAAGTGTTCCCTATGTGAAATCTCTCTCTCACAGTAGGTGATGCAGACAGCTTCCTTTAGCTCATGGTATAGAAACGTGTGCACAGTCCATGTGTTGTGTGTGTAGCAGATATAAAACCATAAATTAGTCCATTTCCCAACAATAGTAGGTTGTATCCTACCTTGTATCCAGCTAAGGGTGGCATGTTCTATCCGCTCAAGAGGCTGTTGCACTGGTATAACACATCTTGGGCTAACTAAGCATATTTCCTGTATAGAAATTTGAAAGCCATCAGGAAGTGTTTTTTCCCTCCAAGTTATTTTTCCAAGAATAAAAAGAGATGTTGGCAAATTAAAATATATATAATATGTATTTTCTCATCAAACTTAAACTTGTTTTAATGCTTTAATAACATAAAATGCTTCTTCATTTATGCCATAGTTCATGTTTTTAATTTTACTATTTAGTATTTCTATGGAATCTAAAAATACAAATTGCCTTAGTTTTTCTACAAGCAAAATTGCAAATCTCCAATATTAGAGAGAGAACTGTCAACTACTGTAGGACAGGCAACCTAAGTATCTATATGCAACCTAAGCAGCTGTATTTTGGTTTTTGCTAACTGAAAGGAGAAAAAAAGAACAAGGAGAAAACAAATTTCATTACAAAGTGTGCTGGACAGAAGCTGTATCATGCAGTCTCAATGCATACGGTTACTGGATGGCAGACCAAAATTGCCGACATGAAGGAATGGCCCCCAGCCTGCTCCTTGGGAGGAAAGCAATGGCGAACCTAAACAGCATGATAAAAAGTAGAGACATCACCCTGCCAACAAAAGTCCGCATGGTCAAAGCAATGGTATTCCCAGTAGTCATGTATGGCTGCGAGAGTTGGACTATAAGGAAGGCCGAGCGCCGAAGAATAGATTCTTTTGAACTATGGTGCTGGAGGAGACTCTTGAGAGTTCCTTGGACTGCAAGAAGAACAAATCAGTCAATCCTCAAAGAAATCAACCCTGACTGTTCCCTGGAAGGCCAGATAATGAAACTGAAGCTCAAATACTTTGGCCACCAAATGAGAAGGGAGCACTCACTGGAGAAGACCCTGATGCTGGGAAAGATTGAAGGTCAAAGAAGACGGGGACGGCAAAGGATGAGATGATTAGATAGTGTCATTGATGCAACGAACATGAAGTTGAGCAAACTTCAGAGGACGGCGGAAGACCGGAGGGCCTGGCGGGAGCTGGTCCATGGGGTCGCAAAGAGTCGGACTCGACTGTGCGACTGAACAACAACAAATGGCTAGTGAGAT